AAAAAATCCCCAGAGAAAGTTATAATGGCATCAAACAGCTTCGACGTTGCATTTCTCTTCGAGGTATTTTTGGAAATAGTTTTACAAGGGTTCAATGCTTTTGATCAAGTATTTTGCCATTGGTTTGTTATTTTCAGTTTCTTTCATGTAAGATCATTAACATGTATAATCCTATCAAATTATTCATGAGAAATCTGGAGAAGAATTGAATTTATTTGATTTTTATTCATATTCCATGGTGTTTTGGCCCTTACATTATCAAAGTTCAGGTGACACTTAAAATCTTTAGAAATGTTACAAATAAACCCAGTTTTTTCCAAGAAACAGCAATCATTCGCCTGAATAAGCATACTGTTTGTGTGCGAAAGTATCCTGCTCTTTTAATACACAAATGGTATGTTATCACTTCAAGTTTTGAAATGACACAACTACACGGCGAGCGCTGAAGAAATAGCACGTTGATATTTGAAATCCTTGGTGAGATGATTGACTTGTAGTCGGCAGATATAAACTAGGTTTCTGTTAAGTCTTTGACGATACACAAGATGATGAGATTAATTTTCAGATTTTTCAACGTATCTAATCGACATGTACTATTTGCTGTCACAGTTACATTTCAATAAAATACGATTTTAAAGACAAAAATATTAATGATGACATACGTATGTAGTGAAAATATGACAAATTACCCTCTTGTAAGAATAACAGAATTATGATAATATTGTTTAGATCTATGGCTGTCAAAGATGCGATATTATTTAAACGTGAGAGGAATACAAATTTATTTCAGGAGCATGTATTATGTACGGCATCATGGTAAATCAGGCACTCGTGAAAAAAAAATGAAATTAAAAAAACAACCGCCTTTTTTCGGTCATTTGGACAATTTTTATATTCCTTTTCCCTCAACATCGTTTTTGTCCATTCAAAAACACATATAATGTGTTTTTGAATCTTCCATGAAAACATTGATCAAATGCACAAAAATGTTTTGTAGTTTTAGTAACATATTCATAAAAACCATGAAAACTGAAAGAGGTGTAGGAATTTTCTTTGATGAATCTACAACAAATAACATCAACGTTTATTTCGGGGTTTTTTGTGGGTTTTTTCTTGTTTGTTGTTTTGTTTGTTGTTGTTGGGGGGTTTGGGGGTTTTTGGTGTTTTTTTTGCTGCTGTTTAGTTGGGGGTTTTTTGTTGTTGCTGTTTTTT